TGAGTGGGTGAGTGAGTGGGTGAGTGAGTGGGTGAGTGAGTGGGTGAGTCACAGGGTGAGTCACAGGGTGAGTCACAGGGTGAGTGAGTCACAGGGTGAGTGAGTGAGTCACAGGGTGAGTGAGTGGGTGAGTGAGTGGGTGAGTCACAGGGTGAGTGAGTCACAGGGTGAGTCACAGGGTGAGTGAGTCACAGGGTGAGTGAGTGGGTGAGTGAGTGGGTGAGTGAGTGGGTGAGTGAGTGGGTGAGTCACAGGGTGAGTCACAGGGTGAGTGAGTCACAGGGTGAGTCACAGGGTGAGTCACAGGGTGAGTGAGTCACAGGGTGAGTCACAGGGTGAGTCACAGGGTGAGTGAGTCACAGGGTGAGTTACAGGGTGAGTGAGTGGGTGAGTGAGTGGGTGAGTCACAGGGTGAGTGGGTGAGTGTGTGGGTGAGTGAGTGGGTGAGTGGGTGAGTCACAGGGTGAGTCACAGGGTGAGTGGGTGAGTGTGTGGGTGAGTGAGTGGGTGAGTCACAGGGTGAGTCACAGGGTGAGTGGGTGAGTGTGTGGGTGAGTGAGTGGGTGAGTGGGTGAGTCACAGGGTGAGTCACAGGGTGAGTGGTTGAGTGTGTGGGTGAGTGAGTGGTTGAGTCACAGTGTGAGTCACAGGGTGAGTGAGTCACAGGGTGAGTGAATCACAGGGTGAGTGAGTGAGTCACAGGGTGAGTGGGTGAGTGAGTCACAGGGTGAGTGGGTGAGTGAGTCACAGGGTGAGTGGGTGAGTGAGTCACAGGGTGAGTCACAGGGTGAGTGAGTCACAGGGTGAGTGAGTGAGTCACAGGGTGAGTGAGTGAATGAGTCACAGGGTGAGTGGGTGAGTGAGTCACAGGGTGAGTGAGTCACAGGGTGAGTGAGTAGGTGAGTGAGTGAGTTACAGGGTGAGTGAGTGGGTGAGTGAGTCACAGGGTGAGTGAGTGGGTGAGTGAGTAACAGGGTGAGTGAGTCACAGGGTGAGTGAGTGGGTCACAGGGTGAGTGAGTCACAGGGTGAGTGAGTCACAGGGTGAGTGAGTGGGTGAGTGAGTGAGTCACAGGGTGAGTGAGTCACAGGGTGAGTGAGTCACAGGGTGAGTGAGTCACAGGGTGAGTGAGTCACAGGGTGAGTGAGTGGGTCACAGGGTGAGTGAGTCACAGGGTGAGTGAGTGAGTCACAGGGTGAGTGAGTCACAGGGTGAGTGAGTGGGTGAGTGAGTGAGTCACAGGGTGAGTGGGTGAGTGAGTCACAGGGCAAGTGAGTTGGTGAGTGAGTGAGTCACAGGGTGAGTGAGTCACACGGTGAGCGTGTGGGTGAGCGTGTGGGTGAGTCACACGGTGAGCTGGTGAGTCACACGGTGAGCGTGTTGGTGAGTAGGTGAGTTGGTGAGTCACACGGTGAGCTGGTGAGTCACACGGTGAGTGTGTTGGTGAGTAGGTGAGCTGGTGAGTAGGTGAGCTGGTGAGCTGGTGAGTCACACGGTGAGCGTGTGGGTGAGCGTGTGGGTGAGTCACACGGTGAGCTGGTGAGTCACACGGTGAGCGTGTTGGTGAGTAGGTGAGTTGGTGAGTCACACGGTGAGCTGGTGAGTCACACGGTGAGCTGGTGAGTCACACGGTGAGTGTGTTGGTGAGTAGGTGAGCTGGTGAGTAGGTGAGCTGGTGAGCTGGTGAGTCACATGGTGAGCGTGTGGGTGAGCGTGTGGGTGAGATGGTGAGCGTGTGGGTGAGTAGGTGAGCTGGTGAGTCACACGGTGAGTTGGTGAGTCGGTGAGCTGGTGAGTCACACGGTGAGTGTGTTGGTGAGCTGGTGAGTCACACGGTGAGTCACACGGTGAGCTGGTGAGCATGTTGGTGAGTTGGTGAGTCACACGGTGAGCGTGTTGGTGAGTAGGTGAGTTGGTGAGTCACACGGTGAGTTGGTGAGTCACATGGTGAGTTGGTGAGCTGGTGAGTCACACGGTGAGTCACACGGTGAGCATGTTGGTGAGTAGGTGAGTTGGTGAGTAGGTGAGCGTGTTGGTGAGTAGGTGAGTTGGTGAGTAGGTGAGTTGGTGAGTCACACGGTGAGCGTGTTGGTGAGTCACGCGGTGAGTTGGTGAGTCACACGGTGAGTTGGTGAGTCACACGGTGAGCGTGTTGGTGAGTTGGTGAGTAGGTGAGTTGGTGAGTCACACGGTGAGCGTGTTGGTGAGTAGGTGAGTTGGTGAGTCACACGGTGAGCGTGTTGGTGAGTAGGTGAGTTGGTGAGTAGGTGAGCGTGTTGGTGAGTAGGTGAGTTGGTGAGTAGGTGAGCGTGTTGGTGAGTAGGTGAGTTGGTGAGTAGGTGAGCGTGTTGGTGAGTAGGTGAGTTGGTGAGTAGGTGAGCGTGTTGGTGAGTAGGTGAGTTGGTGAGTAGGTGAGCGTGTTGGTGAGTAGGTGAGCGTGTTGGTGAGTAGGTGAGTTGGTGAGTAGGTGAGCGTGTTGGTGAGTAGGTGAGTTGGTGAGTAGGTGAGCGTGTTGGTGAGTAGGTGAGTTGGTGAGTAGGTGAGCGTGTTGGTGAGTAGGTGAGTTGGTGAGTAGGTGAGCGTGTTGGTGAGCTGGTGAGTTGGTGAGGTGAGCGTGTTGGTGAGTCACACAGTGAGCGTGTTGGTGAGTAGTTGAGTTGGTGAGTAGGTGAGCGTGTTGGTGAGTAGGTGAGTTGGTGAATAGGTGAGCGTGTTGGTGAGTAGGTGAGTTGGTGAGTCACACGGTGAGTTGGTGAGTCACACGGTGAGCTGGTGAGTCACACGGTGAGTAGGTGAGCGTGTTGGTGAGTTGGTGAGTTGGTGAGTAGGTGAGCTGGTGAGTCACACGGTGAGTAGGTGAGTTGGTGAGTCACATGGTGAGCGTGTTGGTGAGTTGGTGAGTCACACGGTGAGTAGGTGAGTTGGTGAGTTGGTGAGTGAGTTGGTGAGCGTGTTGGTGAGTCACACGGTGAGCGTGTTGGTGAGTTGGTGAGCGTGTTGGTGAGTCACACGGTGAGCGTGTTGGTGAGTTGGTGAGCGAGTTGGTGAGCGTGTTGGTGAGTCACACGGTGAGCGTGTTGGTGAGCTGGTGAGTTGGTGAGTTGGTGAGCGTGTTGGTGAGTGTGTTGGTGAGTTGGTGAGTCACATGGTGAGCGTGTTGGTGAGTTGGTGAGTCACACGGTGAGCGTGTTGGTGAGTCACATGGTGAGTTGGTGAGTCACACGGTGAGTGTGTTGGTGAGTTGGTGAGTCACACGGTGAGCGTGTTGGTGAGCTGGTGAGCGTGTTGGTGAGTTGGTGAGTGAGTTGGTGAGTGTGTTGGTGAGCTGGTGAGTCACACGGTGAGTGTATTGGTGAGTTGGTGAGTCACACGGTGAGTGAGTTGGTGAGCGTGTTGGTGAGTCACACGGTGAGCTGGTGAGTTGGTGAGTCACACGGTGAGCGTGTTGGTGAGCGTGTTGGTGAGTAGGTGAGTCGGTGAGTTGGTGAGTTGGTGAGCGTGTTGGTGAGTCACACGGTGAGTGAGTTGGTGAGCTGGTGAGCGAGTTGGTGAGTCACACGGTGAGCGTGTTGGTGAGCTGGTGAGCGTGTTGGTGAGTTGGTGAGTGTGTTGGTCACACGGTGAGCTGGTGAGCGTGTTGGTGAGTTGGTGAGTTGGTGAGTGTGTTGGTGAGTTGGTGAGTCACACGGTGAGTTGGTGAGTCACACGGTGAGTTGGTGAGTTGGTGAGCTGGTGAGTTGGTGAGTCACACGGTGAGCGTGTTGGTGAGTGTGTTGGTGAGTTGGTGACTTGGTGAGCGTGTTGGTGAGCTGGTGAGTTGGTGAGTCACACAGTGAGTTGGTGAGCTGGTGAGCGTGTTGGTGAGTCACACAGTGAGCGTGTTGGTGAGCATGTTGGTGAGTTGGTGAGCGTGTTGGTGAGTTGGTGAGTCACACGGTGAGCGTGTTGGTGAGTGTGTTGGTGAGTTGGTGAGTTGGTGAGCTGGTGAGTTGTTGAGTCACACAGTGAGCGTGTTGGTGAGTGTGTTGGTGAGTTGGTGAGTTGGTGAGCGTGTTGGTGAGCTGGTGAGTTGGTGAGTCACACGGTGAGTTGGTGAGCTGGTGAGCTTGTTGGTGAGTCACACGGTGAGCGTGTTGGTGAGCGTGTTGGTGAGTTGGTGAGCGTGTTGGTGAGTTGGTGAGTCACACGGTGAGCGTGTTGGTGAGTTGGTGAGTCACACGGTGAGTGAGCTGGTGAGTGTGTTGGTGAGTTGGTGAGTTGGTGAGTGTGTTGGTGAGCGTGTTGGTGAGTCACATGGTGAGTTGGTGAGTCACACGGTGAGTTGGTGAGCTGGTGAGCGAGTTGGTGAGTCACACGGTGAGTGTGTTGGTGAGTTGGTGAGTCACACGGTGAGTGAGTTGGTGAGCTGGTGAGCGAGTTGGTGAGTCACACGGTGAGTGAGTTGGTGAGCTGGTGAGCGAGTTGGTGAGTCACACGGTGAGTTGGTGAGTGTGTTGGTGAGCGAGTTGGTGAGATGGTGAGTTGGTGAGTCACACGGTGAGCGAGTTGGTGAGTGTGTTGGTGAGCGTGTTGGTCACACGGTGAGTGTGTTGGTGAGTGTGTTGGTGAGCGTGTTGGTCACACGGTGAGTGTGTTGGTGAGTGTGTTGGTGAGCGTGTTGGTCACACGGTGAGTGTGTTGGTGAGTGTGTTGGTGAGCGTGTTGGTCACACGGTGAGTGAGTTGGTGAGTGTGTTGGTGAGCGTGTTGGTCACACGGTGAGTGAGTTGGTGAGTGTGTTGGTGAGCGTGTTGGTCACACGGTGAGCGTGTTGGTGAGTGTGTTGGTGAGCGAGTTGGTGAGCGTGTTGGTCACACGGTGAGCGTGTTGGTGAGTGAGTTGGTGAGTCACACGGTGAGTGAGTTGGTGAGCTGGTGAGCGAGTTGGTGAGTCACACGGTGAGTGAGTTGGTGAGCTGGTGAGCGAGTTGGTGAGTCACACGGTGAGTGTGTTGGTGAGTTGTTGAGTCACACGGTGAGTGTGTTGGTGAGCGTGTTGGTGAGTTGGTGAGCGTGTTGGTGAGTGTGTTGGTGAGTCACACGGTGAGCGGGTCGTCAGGCCCCTTGTCCCCGGCACGTGACTCGCTCCGCGTCCGCCGGTACTCCTGCCCCGAGGCCCCGCCCACACCGGAGGCCCCGCCCCCTCCGCCGCGCCAGGGGGGCGGCGCCCGTCGCCACGCCGACGCCACCAGCCCCGCCCCCCACGCCCACGCAAAGAACGCCAGGAAGCCAAACACCTGTGGGGGGGTGGTGGGGGGGGGTGGGGGGGGTGGTGGGGGGGGGTGGGGGGGTGGTGGGGGGGGGGTGGGGGGGTGGTGGGGGGGGGGTGGGGGGGGTGGTGGGGTGGGTGGGGAGGTGGTGGGGGGGGTGCAGCGGTTAGTGCTACGCTGCGCTACGAACCTGGTGGGTGGGTGGGTGAGCGAGTGGGTGGGTTGGTGGGTGGGTGGGTTGGTGGGTTGGTGGGTGGGTTGGTGGGTGGGTGGGTTGGTGGGTGGGTTGGTGGGTGGGTTAGCGGGTGGGTGGGTGAGCGAGTGGGAGGGTTGGTGGGTGGGTTGGTGGGTGGGTGAGCGGGTGGGTGGGTGGGTTGTGTGGGTGGGTGGGTGAGCCAGCGGGTGGGTGGGTGGGTGGGTGAGCGAGCGGGTGGGTGGGTGAGCGAGTGGGTGGGTGGAATGAGTGGGTGGGTGTCTCTATGTGTCTCTGGGAACTTGACCTAGGTTCGATTCCCGCTCACGGCCAACACCACCAGTGACAATTATCTGAACCGGTCCCGGGCCTCCCCTAGGTCGACTCAGCCTCAAATGAGTACCTGGTGCGGTGTGTAGTAAACATCGCCACTAGAGAGACAAAGGCGGTCGGGCGTGGTGCTGGCCACCCACCCCCTCGTGTGCCGTTCCGGCCTTCATAGGTGGTGCTCGCTAACAGCACTTGCCCCTACAGTCTGTTAAGGCTACACGGGGGATCTTTGTTTTTATCTTTGTGTGTGTTTGTGTGTGTGTCTGTGTGTGTGTGTGTCTGTGTGTGTGACTGTGTGTGTGTATGTCTGTGTGTGTCTGTGTGTCTGTGTGTGTCTGTGTGTGTGTGTGTCTGTGTGTGTCTGTGTGTGTGTGTCTGTGTGTGTGTGTGTCTGTGACTGTGTGTGTCTGTGACTGTGTGTGTCTGTGTGTGTGTGTGTGTCTGTGTCTGTGTGTCTGTGTGTGTGTGTGTGTCTGTGTGTGTGTGTGTCTGTGTGTGTGTGTCTGTGTGTGTGTGTGTCTGTGACTGTGTGTGTCTGTGTGTGTGTGTGTGTCTGTGTCTGTGTGTCTGTGTGTGTGTGTGTGTCTGTGACTGTGTGTGTCTGTGTGTGTGTGTGTGTCTGTGACTGTGTGTGTCTGTGTGTGTGTGTGGGGAGCGATAGTGTAGTGGTTAGCGCTACGCTGCGCTATGAACCTGGCGACCCGGGTTCGATTCCCGCTCACGGCCAACACCAACAGTGACGATTATCTGAACCGGTCCCGGGCCTCCCCTAGGTCGACTCAGCCTCAAATGAGTACCTGGTGCGGTGTGTAAACATCGTCACTAGGGAGACAAAGGCGGTCGGGCGTGGTGCTGGCCACCCACCCCCTCGTGTACCGTTCCGGCCTTCATAGGTGCTCGCTAACAGCACTTGCCCCTACAGTCTGTTAAGGCTATACCGGGGATCTTTGTCTTTGCCTTTGTGTGTGTCTGCGTGTGAGTCTGTGTGTGTGTCTGTGTCTGTGTGTCTGTGTGTGTGTCTGTGTGTGTGTGTGTGTGACTGTGTGTGTCTGTGTGTGACTGTGTGTGTCTGTGTGTGTGTGTGTCTGTGGTTACCACAGCGGCGATGTCAGGCCCCAGACCGTCGTTGAGAGCTGCAAGAACGACGCTCGCGATGAACAGGAAGACCGTGCACAGCAGCGTAAAGATGTGGTCCTGGACAACAACAACAACAACACAACAACAACAACAACAGAGACCACAACATGACGACAACAACAACCCACTCACCCACTCACCCACTCACCCACCCACCCACCCACCCACTCACTCACCCACTCACTCACTCACTCACCCACCCACTCACTCACCCACTCACTCACTCACTCACCCACTCACCCACTCACCCACCCACCCACCCACTCACTCACCCACTCACTCACCCACCCACTCACTCACCCACTCACTCACCCACTCACCCACCCACTCACTCACTCACTCACCCACCCACCCACTCACTCACCCACTCACCTACCCACCCACTCACCCACTCACTCACTCACTAACCCACTCACCCACCCACCCACCCACTCACCCTCCCACCCACTCTCCCACCCACTAACCCACTCACTCACTAACCCACCCACCCACCCTACCACTCTCCCACCAACCCACCCACCCACTCACCCACCCACTCACCCACCCACCCACCCACCATGTGCCTCAATTGATGAGGCTGATTCGTTGCTGGAGGCTGGTGGCCAGCACGGTGATGAGCGTGAGGCCTCCGAGGAACGCCGTGCAGCTCACAAACTCAAAGAAGTAGACGGCTCACCCACCTACCCAACCACCTACCCACTCACCTACCCACTCACCTACCCACTCACCCACTCACCCACCCACTCACCCACTCACCTACCCACCCACCCACTCACCTACCCACTCACTCACCCACTCACCTACCCACTCACCTACCCACTCACCTACCCACTCACCCACTCACTCACCCACTCACCTTCCCACTCACCCACACACCCACCCACTCACCCACTCACCTACCCACCCACTCACTCACTCACCCACCTTCCCACTCACCCACACACCTACCCACTCACCTACCCACTCACTCACTCTCCCACCCACTCACCCACCCACCCACCCACTCACTCACCCACTCACCCACCCACCCACTCTCCCACCCACCATGAGAACCCAATTGATGAGGCTGATTCGTTGCTGGAGGCTGGTGGCCAGCACGGTGATGAGCGTGAGGCCTCCGAGGAACGCCGTGCAGCTCACAAACTCAAAGAAGTAGACGGCTCACCCACCTACCCACTCACCTACCCACTCACCTACCCACTCACCTACCCACTCACCTACCCACTCACTCACCCACTCACCTTCCCACTCACCCACCCACCCACTCACTCACTCACCCACCTTCCCACTCACCCACACACCTACCCACTCACCTACCCACTCACTCACTCACCCACCCACCAACCCACTCACTCACTCACCCACCTTCCCACTCACCCACACACCTACCCACACACCTACCCACTCACCTACCCACTCACTCACTCACTAACCCACCCACCCACCCTCCCACTCACTCACCCACCCACCCACTCACCCACCCACCCACCCTCCCACCCACCATGAGAACCCAATTGATGAGGCTGATTCGTTGCTGGAGGCTGGTGGCCAGCACGGTGATGAGCGTGAGGCCTCCGAGGAACGCCGTGCAGCTCACAAACTCAAAGAAGTAGACGGCGGAGCAGCGTGAGCAGGCACCCACAGCCTCCACGCAGATGAAGGCCACCAGCGACAGAAGCTGTGCGGCACACACGCACGTACTCCCACGGTGAGCGGGTCGGTGGGTGGGTGGGTGGGTGAGTGGGTGGGTGGGTGGGTGAGTGGGTGGGTGAGTGGGTGGGTGAGTGGGTGAGTGAGTGGGTGAGTGAGTGAGTGAGTGGGTGGGTGGGTGGGTGAAGGAGTGAGTGGTTAAGTGGGTGAGTGAGTGGGTGAGTGAGTGAGTGGGTAGGTGGGTGAGTGAGTGGGTGGGTGGGTGAGTGAGTGGGGAGGTGGGTGGGTGAGTGAGTGAGTGAGTGGGTAGGTGGGTGAGTGGGTGAGTGGGTGAGTGGGTATGTGAGGGAGTGGGTAGGTGGGTGAGTGAGTGTGTAGGTGGGTGAGTGAGTGAGTGGGTAGGTGGGTGAGTGAGTGGGTAGGTGGGTGGGTGAGTGAGTGGGTAGGTGGGTGGGTGAGTGGGTAGGTGGGTAGGTGGGTGGGTGAGTGGGTGGGGTGTGAGTGAGTGGGTGAGTGGGTAGGTGGGTGAGTGGGTGAGTGCGTAGGTAGGTGGGTGAGTGAGTGGGTAGGTGGGTGAGTGAGTGTGTGAGTGAGTGGGTGAGTGGGTAGGTGGGTGAGTGGGTGAGTGAGTGAGTGGGTAGGTGAGTGGGTAGGTGGGTGAGTGAGTGAGTGAGTGGGTGAGTGAGTGGGTGGGTGTGTGGGTGAGTGGGAAGGTGAGTGGGTGAGTGAGTGGGTGAGTGGGTGAGTGAGTGGGTAGGTGAGTGGGTAGGTGGGTGAGTGAGTGAGTAGGTGAGTGAGTGAGTGGGTGGGTGAGTGGGTGGGTGAGTGAGTGGGTTGGTGGGTGGGTAGGTGAGGGAGTGGGGTGTGAGTGAGTGAGTGGGTGAGTGAGTGCGTAGGTGGGTGAGTGAGTGGGTAGGTGGGTGAGTGAGTGGGTAGGTGGGTGAGTGAGTGGGTAGGTGGGTGAGTGAGTGGGTAGGTGGGTGAGTGAGTGGGTAGGTGGGTGAGTGGGCGAATGAGTGGGCGAATGAGTGGGTAAATGAGTGGGTGAGTGGGTGAGCATGCACCCAACACCTCTGCCCCCTACTGTGCCAACTTGCTGTGCTTTAGAGACCCGGCACTCCGCTCGTTGTTGTGAGCGTCGTTCCTCCACCCTCCATTGTTGTTGGAGGGCGACTGCCTCCAACTGCCCAGTAGCGTCCTTCACGAGCCTCCTCCACAGAGGCCGATCTTGACACCGCTGGTACCAGTCATCGGCAAGTCCACTCAGCTCCACGTCCTCCTGTACCACATCACTCCATCTCTTCTCTAGCCCGTGCCGCGCCCGTTTAGCCCCCTCGATCCGGCCGAACAAAAGCTGTTTCGGCATGCGGTGGCTGGGCATGCGGGCTACATGACCCAGCCACCGATGGGACCTTGCCCAGATCTTTCAAGGATTTGTGAGCTCCTCACACAATCCAGCCTGGTTAAACCCAGGATGGATCGGAGGCAGGCCAGCCTAAATGTTTCTAATCGGCGAAGATGTTCCATTGGGGGGGTTCCACATTTCGCAAGCGTAGAGAAGAGAGGGAATGACCGTGGTCGAGAAGACCTGAAGCTTAGTGCGGAGCGACAGACCAGGTAGCTTCCACACAGCGTTACGCAACCGATGAAAATATAATGCCGCTCGACTAATTCGGAGTGAGACCTCTGCTGTTAAACCGGAGCCGGTCATAAGCACACTGCCCAGGTATGGGAAACTCTCCACTCTCTCCACAACTACCCCATTCTCGATTGGGAGTTGTGGGGATGGAGTGTCCGATGGTACAAAATACCCAGGCAGGTGCTTAGTTTTGGTGGGTCTGATGGTTAGGCCCCACCTCTTAGTGGCATGCTCCAGTTTCAGCAGCAGCGCCTCCAACTCCTCCTTTGAGTGAGTGGCAATTACCAGATCATCGGCATACGTAACGTGGTTGACCAATAGGGAGCCATCCCTTGACTGCACCCGGGCATCGATCAGCCTCCCATTGCATCTGTACCAGATGGAAATTCCTCCGGTACAGCCATTGAAGGCTTCACGAACTACGTGGTCATAAATATGTTAAATAATGTTGGAGCCAGAGGACATCCCTGTCGCACCCCAAGGTGTACAGGGAATGGTTCCGACTCCCGGCCACGTAGTTTCAACTGGGCCCGCTCACCATCATGAAGGTCCTTAATGATCATGAGCAGAGGGTCAGGTACTCCAAAAGCACGAAGAACGACCCAGAGCCCAGGCCTACTTATGGTATCATAGGCCTTGACCAGGTCAATAAAGCAGAGATGTAGGTCTTGCTGGAATTCCCTAGCCCTCTGCTGTAACAGACGGACAGAAAATATGGCATCTGTGCAGGACCGCCCTTTCTTGAAATCGCATTGGGGCTCCGCAAGCCTCTCCTAAACGTGCCTGGCAAAGGCGATGTTGAATAATCCTTGCCAGGACCTTTCCCGGCACACTGAGGAGTGAGATGCCCCTGTAGTTGTTACAGTCTGTGTGGTCCCCCTTCTTAAAGAGGGGGACCACCAGGGCATCCTTCCAATCCTGTGGAACCCGTCCAGTGGTCCAGACTGTAGTTATGATGTCATATAGGGCAGTCTGTGCACAAACGCCACCCTCCCTCAGCATTTCGCTTGGGAGATCATCTCTGCCGGCTGCCTTTCCTGGTCTCAAGACTCCGGATCGCCTTCAGTACTTCCTCGACAGATGGCACCTCAGCCAGCCACTCACAGGGGGTGACTTCTTCCGATATTTGAGGCACCGCAGCCTCAGCAGGGTCATCCTCACTTTGTGCCACGATGTTTTCCAGGTTGAGGGATTTCCCCTCCCCCTAGGACCTCACAGAAATGCTCAGCAAATCTGCAAACCTGTTCCTGGGGGTCGGAGATTGGATCACCGTTTTTTCCCCTAATGATGGTAATAGGTGTGGCACTGCAGGTTACTTTTTTGATGGAGTTAAATAGAGATTTGTGATCGCGGGCCACTGAGGCAGACTCCATCTCCTCAGCAACCCGTGACCACCACCCATCCTTGCAGCGCCTCACGGCTCTCCGAACCTCCGAGCGAAGGCTGCGGTAAGCCTCCTCATTCTCTGACGTGGGATTCTGTAGCCGATGACAGTGGGCCTGTCGCTTTTTCTCAACCATCCTGAACATCTCCTCTGTCAGCCAGGGTCTCTGGGGAGGTCTGGACCGCGTACCCAAAGCAGCCATTGCAGCTGCATCAGCCACAGTCCTAAACTTTCATCAGATAACTGAGACCAGGCCACTTTAGGTTGGAATGGGGTCCTGATGTAGACCCACCACCGGAGTGGAAGAATGGCAGGCGCATCTTACAGATGACAAGTCGATGGTCAGAGGGCAGATCAGCTCCACGGTAGGTCCTGGTGTCAAGGACATGGGCTCGCATCCGCTGGTCCGTCACTATGTAGTCCAGCAGATGTTCTTGCTTGGACCAGGCATGCATCCATGATGTTGTGTGGATGCGCCGATGCCGGAACAGCGTGTTGGTAATTACAAGCCCATGGGCTGCACAAAAATCTAGCATCCTCCTACCGTTGTTATTGAGCTGATCCGGCCCATGCCCTCCAATCACTCCAGACCAGGTGCCAGCATCATGACCAACTCGGGCATTGAAGTCACCCAACAAAATGACTCCATCCCGAGGGGCCACTTTATCCAGCACTTGTGACAGGAGGTCATAGAAGGCATCTGACTCATCGGCCTTGTGCCTGCATCCCTCCACGGATGTTCGTCTTCGGTGGGGGGCATAAGAAACCACGACCACCACTCCTCGCCTCCGGCTGACGGGAAGGCGAGCCCAAAGTAGCCTGGGGCTTACAGCTTCCCACACCTCACCGCCACGCTTCATATTTTTGTTCAGAAGAAGAGCCACACCCCGTTGTTTGGCAGTCTGCTGCTGCCCCGAGTAGAGGGTGAGTGGGTCAGTGGGTCAGTGGGTCAGTGGGTGAGCGAGCGAGCAAATGTACGAGTGGACGGGTGAACTGGCGGGTGAGCGGACGAGCGAGCGAGCGGACGGACGAACGGACGAGCGAGCCGGCCCAGCGGGGCGCCCTCCCCCGCCCCCGACCCTGCCCACCATCTGCAGCAGCTTCAGGATGCCGGGCGGCGAGAGGAGGAATCCGAGGGGCCCCGGGCAGGCCCCGGAGTGGCGGCCGCCGGCACCGCCGCCGGCACCGCCGCCGCCCCGGCGCTTGACGTCCGGCACCGTGGTGGGCTGGTAGGGGTGGTCGGGCGCCAGCGGCGTCGCCGAAGTGCCGCCGAGGTCCACATCGTTGTAGGCCCCAGGCTCGGCGCCGACGCCGACGCCGGGCACCGGCGAGGCAGCTGCGGCCGCACCGGGGCCCTTGACGGCCATGGTGGTGGTGGTGGTGGGTGCTGGTGGGGGGAGATGGTGGGCGGGGCGGGGCGATGGTGGTGGGGGGAGATGGTGGTGGGCGGCGGAGGGGGATGGGGGGGAGAGAGACAGTGGTTCACTCACTCACTCAGTGGTTCACTAACTCACTCACTCAGTCACTCAGTGGTTCACTAACTCACTCACTCAGTCAGTCACTCAGTCAGTGGTTCACTCACTCAGTCAGTCACTCAGTCACTCACTCAGTCACTCAGTGGTTCACTCACTCACTCACTCAGTCAGTCACTCAGTCAGTGGTTCACTCACTCACTCAGTGGTTCACTAACTCACTCAGTCAGTCACCCAGTGGTTCACTAACTCACTCACTCAGTCAGTCACTCAGTCAGTGGTTCACTCACTCAGTCAGTCACTCAGTCACTCACTCAGTCACTCAGTGGTTCACTCACTCACTCACTCAGTCAGTCACTCAGTCAGTGGTTCACTCACTCAGTCAGTCACTCAGTCAGTGGTTCACTCACTCAGTCAGTCACTCAGTCAGTGGTTCACTCACTCAGTCAGTCACTCAGCCACTCAGTCGGTCACTCAGTCACTCACCGGCCCAGTCAGTCACTCAGTGATTCACTGCCAAGTCGGTCGGTCGGTCGGTCACTCACTCACTCAGTCAGTCACTCAGTGGTTCACTCACTCACTCACTCAGTCAGTCACTCAGTCAGTGGTTCACTCACTCAGTCAGTCACTCAGCCACTCAGTCGGTCACTCAGTCACTCACCGGCCCAGTCAGTCACTCAGTGCTTCACTGCCAAGTCGGTCGGTCGGTCGGTCACTCACTCACTCAGTCGGTCACTCAGTCACTCACCGGCCCAGTTAGTCACTCAGTGCTTCACTGCCAAGTCGGTCGGTCGGTCACTCACTCACTCAGTCAGTCACTCAGTCAGTCACTCAGTGGTTCACTCACTCACTTGCCCAGTCAGTCACTCACTCACTCAGTCACTCAGTGCTTCACTGCCCAGTCAGTCACTCAGTTGTTCACTCACTCACTCAGTGGTTTACTCACTCACTCAGTCACTCACTCACTCAGTCAGTCACTCAGTCAGTCACTCAGTCACTTCGTGGTTCATTCACTCAGTCACTCAGTTGTTCACTCACTCACTTGCCCAGTCAGTCACTCAGTGCTTCAATGCCCAGTCAGTCGGTCGGTCAGTCACTCACTCAGTCAGTCAGTCACTTCATGGTTCACTCACTCACTCAGTTGTTCACTTACTCACTCACTCAGTCACTCACTCACTCAGTCACTCACTCAGTCACTCACTCAGTCACTCACTCAGTCACTCACTCAGTCACTCAGTCAGTCACTCAGTCAGTCACTTCGTGGTTCACTCACTCAGTTGTTCACTTACTCACTCACTCAGTCACTCACTCACTCAGTCACTCACTCACTCAGTCACTCACTGACTCAGTCACTCACTCAGTCACTCACTCACTCAGTCACTCACTGACTCAGTCACTCACTCACCTGAGTGAGCCTGACCTCCCTCGCCCGCTCACCCTCGCCAAGAATCACGACACACGTGGCTGGCCGTCTGTGCACAGACAAAGGTGCCCCGTGTAGCCTCTAGCAGGGTGTAGGGGCAAGTGCTGTGAGTAGCAGCGTCTATAGACACACAGACAAAGGTCCCCCGTGTAGCCTCTAGTAGGGTGTAGGGGCAAGTGCTGTTAGTAGCAGCGTCTATAGACACACAGACAAAGGTCCCCCGTGTAGCCTCTAGCAGGGTGTAGGGTCTTTGTCTTTGGTGAGTGTAGTGGTAAGTGTAGTGGTGAGTGTAGTAGTAGTGGTGAGTGTAGTGGTGAGAGTAGTGGTGAGTGTAGTGGTGAGTGTAGTAGTGGTGAGTAGTGGTGAGTGTAGTAGTGGTGAGTGTAGTGGTGAGTGTAGTAGTGGTGAGTAGTGGTGAGTGTAGTGGTGAGTGTAGTGGTGAGTGTAGTGGTGAGTGTAGTGGTGAGTGTAGTAGTGGTGAGTGTAGTGGTGAGTAGTGGTGAGTGTAGTGGTGAGTGTAGTGGTGAATGTAATGGTGAGTAGTGGTGAGTGCAGTGGTGAGTAGTGGTGAGTGTAGCAGTGGTGAGTGTAGTGGTGAGTGTAGCAGTGGTGAGTGTAGTAGTGGTGAGTAGTGGTGAGTGTAGTGGTGAGTGTAGTAGTGGTGAGTGTAGTGGTGGTGAGTGTAGTGGTGGTGAGTGTAGTGGTGGTGAGTGTAGTGGTGGTGAGTGTAGTGGTGGTGAGTGTAGTGGTGGTAAGTGTAGTGGTGGTGAGTGTAGTGGTGGTGAGTGTAGTAGTGGTGAGTGTAGTAGTGGTGAGTGTAGTAGTGGTGAGTGTTGGTGGTGAGTGGTGGTGGTGAGTGGTGGTGGTGAGTGTAGTGGTGAGTGTAGTGGTGAGTGTAGTGGTGAGTGTAGTGGTGAGTGTAGTGGTGAGTGTAGTGGTGAGTGGAGTGGTGAGTGGAGTGGTGAGTGGAGTGGTGGTGGTGAGTGGTGGTGGTGAGTGTAGTGGTGGTGAGTGTAGTGGTGGTGAGTGTGGTGGTGGTGAGTGTAGTGGTGGTGAGTGTAGTGGTGGTGAGTGTAGTGGTGAGTGTAGTGGTGAGGGTAGTGGTGAGGGTAGTGGTGAGGGTAGTGGTGAGTGTAGTGGTGAGTGTAGTAGTGGTGGTGAGTAGTGGTGAGTGTAGTGGTGAGTGTAGTGGTGAGCGGTGAGTTTCAGACGCCACTCACCGCTGTTGGTGTCTCAGGAAGCCCCCCCAGGGCCTCTGCTGCGCATGCGCGGCGACGTGCTACGTCACGTAATCTGGCGGCGTAACGATAGTCGGTGACGTCATGTCTTCGTTAAGCTATAGGTGCGACGTCACCGCCCCAAGAGGGGGGTCGGTTTGCGACGTCATCTGCACCGACGGGGTAGGTGGGTCTACAACATGACGTCATTTCCTCGTTTCGCGCATTCGTGACGTCGTCGCGCTAACGGGATGGTTTCGTGACGTCATCTGAAACGACGGGGTGTACAACACGTCACTTCCTCGTCTCGCGCGCGTCGTGACGTCACCGCGCCAACGGGGGTAGTTTTTTGACGTCATGTGGATGAATATGAACGTTTGGCTTATGCTAATTCGTTATGATATGACCATGGAATATTGATTACCACCAGCGTGCGCATATTAATGAGTAGCTTACGCGTATGTATAATTAGTAAACAATAAATATTGATTGGTATCTATGCATATTACTGAGTAGATTATGAATAGGGGAGGTCCGTAGATGACGTCACACGATCCTGTACGATTTTTGACCCCTACCCCCTCTCGTCACACGGAGTCGCAAAAAGTCAGACACGCCCCTTAAATATGACGTCACAAAGCTCTGCCACCCCCCCTCAAATATGACGTCACAAAGCTCTGCCACCCCTCTCAAATATGACGTCACAAAAAGTTAGACCGCCCCCCCTAAAATATGACGTCACAAAGCTCTGCCCCCCCCCCGAATTTTTTAAATTAATTTATTAAAAAGTCTATTTAATTAAGCAGAACGTGTTGTCTATATTTACTTAAATTTGCGCATTTTGGTGTGACGTCACATTTCTCAAACCCCCTCGCCCCCCCTCGCCACACATCGTCACAAATGTCTGACCCCCCCCCCCGCCCCCCGCATAGGTGCGTGACGTCATTTATGGACGACCCCATAACTTAAAAAAAAATCACAAATGAGAGCTCAACCAAGTCACCATAGAGACCCATAGAGACCCATAGAGATAAATAGAGACCCACAGAGATACACAGAGACCCATAGAGATACATAGAAACCCATAGAGATACACAGAGACCCACAGAGATACACAGAGACCCACAGAGATACATAGAGACCCATAGAGATACACAGAGACCCATAGAGATACACAGAGACCCATAGAGATACACAGAGACCCACAGAGATACACAGAGACCCACAGAGATACACAGAGACCCATAGAGATACACAGAGACCCATAGAGATACATAGAGACCAATAGAGATACACAGAGACCCACAGAGATACACAGAGACCCACAGAGATACACAGAGACCCATAGAGATACACAGAAACCCAGAGATATACACAGAGACCCATAGAGATACACAGAGACCCAGAGATACACAGAGACCCATAGAGATACACAGAGACCCTTAGAGATACACAGAGACCCACAGAGATACATAGAGACCAATAGAGATACACAGAGACCCATAGAGATACACAGAGACCCACAGAGATACACAGAGACCCACAGAGATACACAGAGACCCATAGAGATACACAGAGACACACAGAGATACACAGAGACCCATAGAGATACACAGAGACCCATAGAGATACACAGAGACCCTTAGAGATACACAGAGACCTACAGAGATACATAGAGACCCATAGAGATACACAGAGACCCATAGATATACACAGAGACTCATAGAGATACACAGAGACCCATAGAGATACACAGAGACCCATAGAGATACACAGAGACCCATAGATATACACAGAGACCCATAGAGATACACAGAGACCCATAGAGATACACAGAGACCAATAGAGATACACAGAGACCCACAGAGATACACAGAGACCCACAGAGATACACAGAGACCCATAGAGATACATAGAGACCCATAGAGATACACAGAGACCCATAGAGATACACAGAGACCCATAGAGAATTCCCTTGGCCCCCCCCCTCACAGCCCCCCCCCTCCCCCCACAGCCTCGGGCACCAATCACAACAAAGAAGTCACGTGGGGCTGCTGTTTGCGAACGCGCGCGGTGCTCGCCGGGAAGTGGGGCGTGGGTGGGGGGAAGGGGTAAATTGGCGCTCGCTACCCCGTCAACGCCAATCACAATGCCACGTGACGCGTCGAGTGTGACGAGTCGTGGCACGTGACCCACCGCCACGCCCCCACTCACCTACCTCACCCACCCACCTACCCCACCCACCCACCCACCCCACCTACCTCACCCACCCATCAACCCCACACCTACCCCACCCACCTACCCCACCCACCCACCCCACCTACCTCACCCACCCATCTACCCCCCAACTACCCCACCCACCTACTCCACCCACCTACCCCACCCACTCACCCACCTACCCCACCCACCTATCCCACCCACCTACCCCACCCACCCCCCCACCTACCCCAACCTACCCCACCCACCTCCCTACCCGACCTCACCTACCCCACCCACCCACCTACCCCCCACCTACTCCACCCACCTACCCCACCCACCCACCTACCCCCCACCTACTCCACCCACTTACCCCACCCACCCCCACCTACCCCACCCACCCCCCACTTACCCCACCCACCTACCTTCCCCCCACCTACCCCACCCACCTACCCCACCCACCCCCCACCCACCTACCCCCTACCTACCCCACCCACCCACCTACCCCCCACCCACCTCATCTACCCCACCCACCTCACCCCCCCACCTACCTACCCCTCCTACCCTCCCCCACCCCACCTACCCTCCCCCGACCCCACCCTCCTGAGGAATGACGTCATCTTCCATCCTTAGAATTGACGTACCCTTCCATCCTGAGAAATGACGTCAAATCCCTCTTGAAGAATGGCGTCATATCCCGCCCCCCCCCCCCCCCCACAGGAAGTACGTCACCGACCCTCCCGACGAACGACGTCTTCGTCAACCCCAGGATAGACGTCACGGCGACTTTTAGTTTTGGCGGGAAACCGGCAGCGAGATCGCAGCGAAGGGGGAGAGAGAGCGAAGGGGGAGAGGGGGGGAGGGAGAGGGGGAGGGGGGAGAGGGGGGAGGAGGAGGTGATGGAGGAGGTGAAGGAGGTGATGGTGGAGGAGGCTGCTAGGGGCGGCGCTGGCTGCAGGCTGCTGAGGGGCTGGCTGCTGGACTACGCCTGCCGCTACCGCATGGACGAGGTCCTCGCCACCGGCAAGGACCTCACTCACTCACCCACTCACTTACTCACCCACCCACTCACTCACCCACTCACTCACTCACCCACCCACTCACTCACCCACCCACTCACTCACCCACCCACTCACCCACTCACTCACTCCACTCACTCCACTCACTCACTCCACTCACTCCACTCACTCACTCACCCACTCACCCACTCACTCACCCCACTCACTCCACTCACTCCACTCACCCACTCACTCACCCACTCACTCACTCCACTCACTCCACTCACTCACTCCACTCACTCACTCACTCACCCACTCACTCACTCCACTCACTCACCCACTCCACTCACTCACTCACTCCACTCACTCACTCACCCACTCACTCACTCACCCACTCACTCACTCACTCCACTCACTCACTCCACTCACTCACTCACTCACCCACTCACTCACCCACTCACTCACTCACTCCACTCACTCACTCACTCACCCACTCACTCACCCACTCACTCACTCCACTCACTCCACTCACTCACCTTACTCACTCACCTCACTCACTCACTCCACTCACTCACTCCACTCGCTCACCTCACTCACTCCATTCACTCCACTCCACTCACTCCACTCACTCACTCCATTCACTCCACTCACTCACCCCACTCACTCACTCCACTCACTCCACTCACTCACTCCACTCACTCCACTCACTCACTCCACTCACTCCACTCACTCACTCACTCCATTCACTCTACTCACTCACTCCACTCACTCACTCCACTCACTCACCCACTCACTCACTCACTCCACTCACTCCACTCACTCCATTCACTCCACTCACTTACCCCACTCACTCCACTCACTCCACTCACTCACTCCACTCACTCACTCCACTCACTCCACTCACTCCACTCACTCACTCACTCCATTCACTCTACTCACTCACTCCACTCACTCACTCCACTCACTCACCCACTCACTCCACTCCACTCACTCCACTCACTCACTCCATTCACTCCACTCACTCACCCCACTCACTCACTCCACTCACTCACTCCACTCACTCCACTCACTCACTCACTCACTCCACTCCACTCACTCCACTCACTCCACTCACTCCACTCACTCACTCCATTCACTCTACTCACTCACTCCACTCACTCACTCCACTCACTCACCCACTCACTCCACTCCACTCACTCCACTCACTCACTCCATTCACTCCACTCACTCCACTCACTCACTCACTCCACTCCACTCACTCCACTCACTCCACTCACTCACTCCATTCACTCTACTCACTCCATTCACTCTACTCACTCACTCCACTCACTCACTCCACTCACTCACTCCACTCACTCCACTCACTCACTCCACTCACTCCACTCACTCACTCACCCACTCACCCACTCACTCACCCCACTCACTCCACTCACTCCACTCACCCACTCACTCACCCACTCACTCACTCCACTCACTCCACTCACTCACTCCACTCACTCACTCACTCACCCACTCACTCACCCACTCACTCACTCCACTCACTCCACTCACTCACCTTACTCACTCACCTCACTCACTCACTCCACTCACTCACTCCACTCACTCACCTCACTCACTCCATTCACTCCACTCCACTCACTCCACTCACTCACTCCATTCACTCCACTCACTCACCCCACTCACTCACTCCACTCACTCCACTCACTCACTCCACTCACTCCACTCACTCACTCCACTCACTCCACTCACTCCACTCACTCACTCACTCCATTCACTCTACTCACTCACTCCACTCACTCACTCCACTCACTCACCCACTCACTCACTCCACTCACTCCACTCACTCCATTCACTCCACTCACTTACCCCACTCACTCCACTCACTCCACTCACTCACTCCACTCACTCACTCCACTCACTC